TGGGGAATGATCGACACTTTGTCCCGGAGGTCGTGCAGACCGATCGTCGAAATGTCCACGTCGTCCAGGGTGATAACTCCGCCATCTAACTCCACCAATCGCATCAACGCCACAACCAGCGACGACTTGCCAGCGCCCGTGCGTCCCACGATCCCAATCTTTTCGTGAGCGTTGATCGTAAACGTCAGCTTTCGCAACACTCGGGGAAGGCCTGCGCGGTATCTCAGGTCCACGTCCTTAAACGTGAGTTTGCCTTGGGATGGCCACTTGGCATGCTCCAACTCCAATGTTTTGATGGGATCGGAGTCCAAGTCGGCTTCGACTTGCATCGTCGTGTATGCGTGGATGCGCTCGACGCTGACCATTTGCGTCTGAATCGTGCTGATGAGTTGCACGGTCCAGTTGAGATTTTGCGTCACATTCAACGTGCACGAGAGGGCGACCCCCGCGAGCCCAGCAAACGCGACCCCCGCCTGCGCTGTATCATGGTTTAGCACGGCAAACAGCGCGGCGCTGGCAGTCACAACAGCGCCTGCCAGTTCCAACCGCAGCGACAGCCACGAATTCGTGCTCACGCTCAAAAAGTACGCCCTTTGGTTTTGATCGAGCAAATAGTGGTTGCGCGTGGTAAACTGTGGCTCGGCGCTGAAGGCGCGGATCGTCGGGATGCCTTCCAGCGTCTCCGTCATGAGTGCCACGACAGGGGATCGGGAGATGCTGTCCAGCCGTTTCAGTTCGCGGGACGTGCGGATGTAGTAGCGCTGGCTCACATAGTAGAAACCCGCCAAGGGGGGCAGCAGCACCGTGAACCACGGTGTCGCATAAACCACCATGCCAATGGTCGTGATAAACGAAAACGTCGCCCCGAGGAGCATGCCCCAATTCGCTGGAATCGTCTCGTCGATTGCGTACACGTCTTTGCCCATGCGGTTCACGATGCGGCCCAACGGCGTCGTGTCGAAGAACGACAGGGGCGCGCGAAGTACTTGGGTCAGCAACTGGTTAAACATGGTGGAGGACCCACGCAGGCCGGCTAGAAACAGCGCCAACGTCTGCACAAACAACAGCCCGATGCCCACGCCATTGAGTCCGATATACATGTACAGGTAGTAGTACTGGGAACTCGTGGCACTGTTCCTCTCGCCCCAGATGGACAGCCACAACGACGCCAACAAGTTGACGCAACTCGTGACCAAGTACAACAGGCCGACGGCAAGGCCCACCCCAACGCCCCCACAAGCATCGATCCACACCTTGTACATACCCCACGGCACGTCGCCGGTGCTGCGGTCTTCGTCGGAAATCAAAGCGGCGTTGGAGACCTTGTCCGTGTCCACGTCGCTGCGGTTGGATTCGGTGCGTTGGCGCGCATCATGTTCTCGCTCGTCTTCTTCTTGATCGTTGTCACGAGGGACGTCGGTGTCGTCTTTTTCCTTGTCGGGGGCTTCTTGAACGCTTTCCATCATCTTGGCCAAGACCCCGTCGACCTTGTCCACCAAACTCTGGTACGCTCCTTGTTCGATGATGCGACCCTGCTCCAGCACCACGACCGAGTCGCAGTCCTTGAGGAAGTTGAGTCCGTTCGTGACCAAAACGACCAACTTGCCATTCAACGCCGTCTTGATGCACTGCTTGAAAATGTCCGATCCCACATGGGCGTCCACCGCCGCCAGCGGGTCGTCCAACAAGTAAATGTCCGCATCTACACATCATCATCATCACAACCACCACCTATTCTGAAGAAAACGAAGGCATTTTTATACCTTGGTACACGGCCCGGGCGATGGCCACACGGGTGCGCTGTCC